ACTGCAAGAGTACACCTGCTTCTTAACAATACAGAACTTGATTTTCTCATTTGTACTCATTATGAACTTGGGATTGAAGATATATTCGGGATAGACGACCACCTGTAGAGACACAGGAATATATAAGATATAAATTTTCAGTGCAGAATTTATTTACTTTTAAGGTGACCTTACATTCTGTATTTACTTATTTACAGTAAATTGTTGTTTTTTTGTAAGTTCTCTGCGATTATAAAAAATCAAATAATACTTCAAAAGTCGTGTATTGGAGAAGAAACTTTCGTGTTTAGTATAATAATCTAGTTTTCTCGAAAAGTAGACTTAAAAATAGAATACATTCAAAAGTAGGTAGTGTCAACTATTCAAGTAGGATTAAAGTCTCAAAAAAAATATTATAATTGGAGGGTAGCTTACTACTTTTAGAGATTATGTACTACTTAACTTTTTTTCCTTTTTAACGAGCCCACTTTAAAATTTCCCATCGCAATTTTTTATAGTTAATATAACTAAGCCTTCACTTTGATAAACTAAAAAATACACCTCTCAGATGTGAATTAAAATTTTACTTTATAAGATATTTACATTAATTTGAATATTAATATTAAACATATCATTAATAAATCAAAAAGTTACTTTATTGAAAGTTATATTAACGCTATCACAATTTATCACTTAATATATCATTTGGGCATTTCACCAATTGGGAGGCTGGACAATATTATAGAATAAAATGATTAATAGGACCAAATGGTAAGTTTTGATTTTAGTTATTGTCATCAATTTTCTCTACTTTTGTATACTGAGCCCACTTTTGGTTTGTCGATATATTTGCCACGAATAAAATTCAAGTGTAGAGGGGGTTTTCATTTTTACATATTTGTATAAATAGTTTTTCCGTCATTTTAATATCTTTGGAATAGTTATTCTACTATTAATATTATAAAATTGACAACAAAGAAACATATGGGATAATTTATCGATCTCACTAACATGCAGATGTGTTTACATTTTGGAAACTTCACATTAAATTTGAGTAAGTATTCACTAAATACAGTGATGATTATTCATTTTTAATTTAACAGTTATATTATTTAAATTTTTAATATGGAGTTATGAAAATTATAAATTGAAAAAAAAATCAAAATTTTTTTTATTCAATTGATTTCGGTTTAATTTTTATAGGTTCATTTTAATTAAGACTGTTTTTTTTTCTGGAAATTTTAATTCAATAGGTTAAACAAATTTTGAGAAATCTCACAAGTACAACTTTCAAAAAAAGTATATTTTTAAAGTAACTAATATACTATCATGCGATTCCAAGTTTAAAGATAAAATAAAATTGAGAATGATTTAAAAAGAAAAACTTTTGTCAAGCCAAATGAAAATTTTATCATTTATTTCAAATTCAATTATTTGACAAAAAAAATCAGTGTGCATTTGAGAATAAAGCTTAGATTCCCCTGAGATATCCCGTTTTGCTACCTTTCTCCCCTATTTTCATGCCGGACTCATGAAATCTTTTGACATGAGTGAAAATTCTCGTAGGGTTCAGAAAAATTCATATTTTTGTATTAAATTTTGGAATAATAAATCAAATTCGTCGAAGGATTTGAAACATTCATTGAAAAAAAGACCAAATGTACGTCTAATAAATTTTATAAAAGTTTATTTTTAAACGCATGAAAAATATATCTCGTTAAAATCACTAAAAAATACAATTAACTTGATTTAAGAGAAAAATTGTTGAACCAAGAAATTAATTGTGAAGAGCTTTATCATCTTGAGTTGAGTGGAAAAATTTTTGAACCAGGAAATTTTTCTTGAATTAAAAATTTTTTGCCTTGATTCGAGATAAGGGAATTCTTCAAAATTATTTCCTCAGTTTTAGGAATTTTTTTAATCAAATTAATTATTTTTTTTAGTCTACGTTCCCAGAAAAAAAAAAAGGTAGATATTCTTGGTTAAAGAAGGTAGATCAAATTTTGTGTGGCTAAAGTATAAAGCTTTTTTGAATCTGACTAATCACTCTTGAGCTCAACTTTTTATTAATTTCTTTGAGATGATCTATTCCTCAATTCAAGTAATATTCATTCAATACAAACATCATTTATTTGAGTCAAGATTAAAATTTCTTATTCGAAGTTCCAAATTTATTGATACAAATATATATTATTTATATATTATTTATTTCATAATGTTATTAATTCAATTTACTGGAATGATAATAAATTTAGATTAACCATTCTCAATTATTAACAGAATACCTTTGGCCGCTGTCTTCTCTTTAAGTCTTAATTTTTAGTGTCAATTTTGTCTTCTGAATTTACTAATTGATTAGTTAAAAATTAGTGTATCTAATTATAAAAATTAGTTGGTACCTAAAATTGTATTATGATTTTGTAAAAATTTTATATATTGTATTTGCATTATGATTTTGTAGAAATTTTATATATTGTATTTGCAACTGTATACTTATGTGACCCTGTTAATGGCCATTGGCTGTTGGGTCTTTTTTAAAGAAATAAATAAATAAATATTACTTTTTTCTTTTTTAAAGTAAAATAATAATACAAGGAATAAAGACCCTCGAAATAAGTAAATTGAGGCTTACATTCATCCGATCACTCCTTAATTGAACAAATTTTTTGATTCCACTTACTCTACATAGCCTCTGTAGTTTGTTCAACAAAATTAATGGTCTTCTTGACACCTGAATGATACCATGAGATCTGACTAAGGGTTCTTTTTTCCCATTATTTTCAAAATTAAAAAAAAAATCTATTATGATCGTGTTGGCATATGAGATGTAAACAAACAAACGGTATAAAGAATACGTAGAAATTAACGAAAAATGAAAAATTTCGGTTAGTTCGAATTGGTGACAGGTTCCAGTACGAACTAGCATATTACGTAGTGAGTGGCGAGCGTAAAATTATGCGAATAGCTTTTACGGTTGCGCGTGAGAGACAGCAGGAGTTTGTCTGGAGTCACGCCTTTTGCCAGCTGACTAACTCAACGCGTGTCGTACAGTCCATTGTAATTTTCTTATCCCTCTATAATATACTCACCCTCACTTGAAAGCTAATATCGGTGCCTGTTACGATTTTTAACACTCCATCTGTGTGTATTAAAACCTGACGAATAAATTCACATTCATTAAGTCTATAGCAACCAAAAGAACGTAGACCGGAAAAGGATTTAAATACGATGATTGATTGCTATTGACTTTGCACATCTTAAGCTAAAATTTCGAGAAACAAATTTTATTGCAATACATACACTGATAAAAAAGTAAATTAGACTCAAGAGAAAAAATCTTGAACCAAGAATAGCATTTCGAAGAAAATAAGTTTCTTGAATCAAAAAAAAATTCTTGAGCCAAGAAAAATTTACTTAAATCAAGAATAATTTTTTGGCTCAAGAATTTTTTCTTTATTCAAGAGACTTATTTTCTTCAAAATGGTATTCTTGGCTTAAGATTTTTTCCCTAGAGTTAAGTTCACTTTTTGATCAGTGTATACACTGATAAAAAAATTAACCTGACTCAAGAGCCAAAATCTTGAACCAAGAATACCATTTCAAAGAAAAAATTCTTGAGCCAAGAAAAATTTACTGAACTCAAGAACAATTTCTTGACTCAAGAATTTATTCTCTTGACTCAAGAATTTATTCTCTTGACTCAAGAAAATCATATATTTCTATCATCCTATTATTCCTATACCCGGTGACGACTCACCAATTCTTTTAAAGAGCTAGCTCGGTTCAAAAATTGACGGGGTAGTCTTGGCTTGACAAGGAAGATTGAGACACTGCAAAATGTCCCGACTTTATCAGCCTGGCGAACTACCACCCGAAATTTCCGTTACCGACACTAGCTAAATTAATGTGTAGCCCCCGTGACGTCACAAGACGACACGAGGAGAGGAAAATCAACTACGAGAGCCTCAAAACCTGATCATTGATCGACACTTCGATCTATCCCTCGGTGTCAACCACCACGTTTGATATTTCTTGGTCAATTTACTACTATACCACTATTACCACTATTAGGTGATTACTCACCAAAATTTATAAAACTTACTACTAAAACCTACTAAAATTCTATTAACAGTTTACTACTAATTAATCTAATATTCTCTATTACTACTAATAGGTGCCTATTCACCATATTTTACCACTAATTCGCTATTATATCACTAATATTAAATAATATATATATTCATTCTATTGTTACAAGTAGTTTATTTTGCTAAGTTACGTTACCGAAATACCACAAGTTTATAATGAAAGTGCTCATTTTGTGTAATAAAGTTAAGTTTATTGTTATCACCGCTATATTCTATTACTAAACTACCACTATTCACCTATCTTATTGACTACGACAATCTATATTCAACAAAAGGGTCAATCAAGGACACAGAATAATCATGCACCGCAGCTAATATTGTAAGTAAGTAAAATAAATTAACTGACAAAATACATTCATTGGTCCGGGAGCGGAATATTTCAAAGCAGCGAATCCCACTTTTTCTGAAGTTTAAGCGATTATTTCCCTATCCGCAAGGATTTAATGGCTTAAATAATTAAATAATTAAATTTTTAAAATATACAAAAATTTAGTGTTTCAATATAATACCTATTTTACTTAAGTTTAACAAATTATTTAATAAAATTTTTTTTATTTATTATTAAATATATAGAGTAAGAAATTCTTTTGATTTTTAAATTAGTTTATCGATGCAATAGAAGCGTATAATAATAAATTGACAATAAATAATACTAGATATAACTACAGAATTACGGCGTTAATTAACATACGATTCGTGATAATAATTTTTATATAAAAATTTTGAAAAATTTACCGTTAATGACATATTGGCGAGGAAGCAGCGGTGACAACTCATCAGCATGTTCATCATTCTCGTTTCGTTGCCCTTTTTCAGGCGAACGACTTCTCCTGGGAAGTGTTTCAGCTACTGAGGTTATGCCAACACTTTCAGTTAGTCGGGTCCCATGGCTACTAGCTCTGGTTCGGCTTCCATTCTTCCTCTTGTCTCTAGATCCTCAAATCTTGGAATCTCAATCGGGTGACGAACCTCTTCCTGAATTGCTAGAGAAATCATATCTCTCTGATATACATCAATTACCCGCTCCATAAACTGTCGAGGGGTAATATTCCCGTCGACTAGCAGTCGCTGGAGATTATAAATCCTGATATTATTGCGGTAGGTATCGTGATCATCATCATTCGTTACCCTTACACCTGGAAATCCTCGTGCGCCCGTCTCAATGATATTTCGGATTTGAGCTAAATGAAAAAAAAATTAATAAACATTAAATTTGCATCGATATTATTATAGCACTTATGAGATAAAAAATATTTATTAGGTAAAAACATTTATTAGGTAAAAAATATTTACCGAGAACATTTTGTAGAGACAAACTTTCTTTTCCGCAACGACGAATCAAAGACTGCATGAACTCCTCAGTTATGTTTCTTGTAATCAATTGATCTCTCAGTATCAATAATGTCATCCTTCCAACATGGCAAGCGAAAAGTACGACGGCAGGATAATCGTTCTCGATTTCATGATAAGCCACAGTTAGTTCCGCGAGCGCATCCAAACGAAAACTTCTTGGAACAACCGGTAATGCCCATGATAAACGTAGAGTTTCAATATTTAGCCTGAATGGCAGACCGTTTGAGCACCAGTATCTGGTAAAATCCTGCAACAAGTTAAATTTTTAAATAAAAAGAAAAGGTAATTATTTACAAGTGGGGCTAATCCATGCTAAATAGCCCATGTTAAGTTTTTTTAACTTCCCGCTAAAAATCAAAGATTTTCAAAAATCGGGAAGTTATTGTTTTCACCCCGTTTTACAAAAATCGATTTTTCATCAGATCTCGACGTTTGAAGGTCACAGGAAGCTTCCCTGACTATTCCCGCGATGTTGTCACTATGTCTGTATGTATGTATGTATGTGTGTGTGTGTGTTTTTTTTTTTTTATAGAGGAGGTAAAATACATTTACGTATGCCAGGGCTTGGTGTTGTTGCCAGGACTAGGTGTTGGTGCCTGGGTATGTCGGACTCGGAAGTCAATATTTGCAACAATACCGACTAAACATCCTCCTCTCTCCTTTCCCTATAGATGTTACAGGGATGACTGGAACGGGACCGCGTTAGCATTACTTCAATCCAGTCCATGTTGTGTCTCATGACACCTACTTCTTGTTACTACTGGTTTCTAATCCCTTTCTGCGATTTTTTCTTTTAAAAGGCGCTGCGCGTAGGCTGCGACAGCTGACCAGTTTTCTTCTTTTTTTATCATGCAGGTTACCAAGCTCTCAGGGGAGAGCGTGGTGCCTATTGTTTCTTCGGTGCTGGTTCTGTCGTCCTTCCACCGATCACACTCGAAAAACGTGTGTTCGGCGTTGTCAATTTTGTCTGGGCAGTATTTGCACGTTGGTGTGCTGTGCAAACCCATCTTGAAAAGATAAACATTGAACTGCCCATGTCCCGTCAATAACTGGGTCAGGAAGAAGTCCGTATCCCCGTGCTTCCAAGAAAGCCAGACGTTGATGTTTGGGATCAAGCGCGCCGTC